GAGAACACGGATAAGAACACGACAATGGGGCACCACGATGTAGTACCCAGGGAGGAAGGCACGATCGTGATAGATGGTGATAGGGGACAGAAGACGCCACCTCTGCAAAGCCATCAGGTGACACATCTGGAGCAGCAGGAGAGAGATAAACAACAGTTGCAGCAAATACAACAGGCATAACAAACACAACAATCACACACCTCGCTGCCACAGCAAACACAACAACTGCACACCCCGCTGCCCGATGGGCCTGACCAGGATCAGCAACAGTCCCCACCACCACAACAACCACTGTCCCCCGATTTCTGCTCGGATGCCTTCGGGGCACAGCAGATGGAGGTGGACACCCCCCCCCCCCCCCTGGATGTTGAGATGGAGGAACCTCCCCAAAACCCAACAGACCCCGATGGCCCCCCGCACGAAATGAGTCTGGATCAGAAAATCCAGATTGTGGCAGATCGAATACTCAAGCATCTCCAATCGGACTGTCTGCACAAGGGGGAGGAGTATTGGGATAAGCCTTATGTGGAACTGGTTGGGCTCCTAAACAACAGCTCCTCCTTAAGAACCGCATTAACATCCGGTCCCCCTCCCCACTTAACATGGGCAGAGGCCTTCCAATGGATTCTGGTCGTTGCCCGGGGCAGGTTCCACCCCCCCGCACAAGAAGAGCAAGGCCAGCAGGAGGCAAAGGGGGTAGAAACAACCGTGGAGGGACTGACCTCACAAAGACTCAAGCTAAGGCAACTCATCGAACGGGGTCTCTTTGAGTTGCCACTCTCTAAGCTGAACGGAGTCCTTGTAATCCCCCTTAGAAAAGCGGACAGAAAATGGGAAATGGGCCTTTCACCGATTGGGGAGTATGGGGGGGTAACGCTGCAGGGGTGGGAGTTCTCGCCTCAGGAAGGAAATAGCAAGGAAAGTGATAGGGTCTTCACCAACCAAATGTCCGCCTTTATCCCCAAGCGCTTTGCCCCAGGGGCCAGAGCAGGCATGAGATTTGGCATGAGGTCCGGGGGCGGTGAGGAGCAGATGGCAAGGAACGATCTCTACCTGCTCTTTGAGCCCAATAAATCATCCGACCTGGGTTGGTACAGCCACAATGCCTTCCTGGACCTGCAATGCACAAAAATAAAAGCTAGCGAATACTAGTCCGAAGATGACATATGTAAATGCCTATGCCGAATAGTGCAGAAGAAAATTTTACATTTGGACAGATGGGATATCAGACAATGGCATCCACTATGAGACAAGGGGGGCAGACACTACTATACAGTGGGGGAAGGCGCTAAGCAATGGATGACCTTGATGCATTGTGTTGTAGGAGCGTGGCATGAAAAAAATGCTTTGACTCAACCGACCTGGACTTGCGATCCATTAATGTCAACGGCCTGGCATCGAGTAAACCAGAAAAGCGCCAGGCTATTTGGGACCAACTGAGAGGAATAGGAGGCAGGCGATGGCCGGACGTGATCTGCATACAAGAAACTCACCTACAAGACCATCCAGATCATCATAGAGCCCACAAGCTAGTCTGGCCTCACACAGCCATAAGATCCCACGCGCCAAGACCTGGATCAGCAGGGGTGGCAATATGGATCCCCCTTGACTCAAGGTTCCAACCGGTTCACTGGGTGGTGGACGAAGCGAAAGGGCGATGGGCCTCAGTTCTGGGAATGTTAGAATTGAAACTGCTCTGTATCCTCTGTATTTACTCCCCAAACTCAGTGGGGGAAAGGAAGGAGTTTTTGGGTAAAATGGGTGCACAAGCCCCAGAAGGTATCCCTCTAGTCATAGCAGGGGACTTCAATGCGACCCCAGATAAAGGCCTGGACAGATGGAATCCCCAGGAATCGCCCTCCTTTGCGGCGCTGGAGGACGAGCAAATGTTAGCTGACCTCTGTACGACTCTCTCTGTCTTCAACACATTCCGACGCCTACACCCCCAAGCACGGGCATTCACGTGCATTCGAGACAGTAATCCGGCACGACTATCCAAATCTCGAATTGATCTCATCCTTTTGTCCAACGACCTGGGAGAGAGCCCTGCGATGGTCCATGATCCTCCCACGCAGCCCGCACCCGGGTCTAGACTACAAAACGTGCGGGATAGTATTAACAATGAGAAAAAGGTCGGACCAAGGGCCAGACTTTTTCAAACTAAATGCGTCCCTGCTTAAAGATTTATCTTTCTCACAAATGATTCGCCACGAATGGGAATTCTGGCGCCAGCAGAAACACCTTTTCGAATCCTACCTCGTATGGTTCAACAATGGCTTAGTGTTTCTGGCCAAGAAAAGCAAGGAATTTTTGAAAGCTAAAGCCGCCATGCGACAGCAACTTGAAATGACCACACACAATGAGCTATTAACCCTAGAGAGGTAGACAGAGTCACAACATCTTACCTCTGCGCAGGAATCACAGCACCTCATAGACGCTATCCAAAACACTAAAGACCGACTCTTACAATTTGCTCTGCATAGATGGCAAGGAATCAGAATCAGAGGGAAGATGACTAAACTCACCCATGAGGCCTCCATGGACACTCGTTTTTTCTCCATGGCCACCGCACGAGCACGACGGACGGTTATCGAGGCTCTTTTTGACCCAGAAGATAACAATATCATTGCCACTGACACAACTCACTGCACACTAATTACCAGGAAATTCTTTAAACAGCTATACACCTCCCAAGTCCTATCCCCGTACGAAGAAGAAAGGATTCAAGAAATACAGGACTTCTTGCTCCCAATGGACCGACATATCTCTTCTCATCAGCGGAACAAACTGGAGGCAGAGTTGACAAAAGAAGCAATTTGGACAGCACTCCTCCAAATGAAGGAGGAAAAGACCCCTGGTATTGACGGCTTCCCCAAAGAATTTTGAGAGAGAGAGAGAGAGAGAGAGAGAGAGAGAGAGAGAGAGAGGTGGTGACTTGCACGGAAGGTCGTGGTGAACTCGCCCCCCCCCCCCCCCCCTCTCTCTCTCTCTCTCCCTCTCTTCAAGAAACGACGGGTCGCGGGAATGAATCTTCCCGCGAAACATTCCCGTCGTTTCTCA